CATCTACCCTGTGATATTTCAGTGTTTATTCCCACCCACAGTCCAATTAACACTTAGGCCAATTCATATCTGATCTACTCTAATAAACACCCCTCCACACACACACATACACCAACTGTCCTTCTGGTATCATGATAAATTCTCCCAGCACAGGATCATTATTAGCTTAACAGAGAGAATATAGCTCTTGTCTGAAATGTGACCAGTTTGAGGGAGCATTTGCAACGGAATCCAGGTGCTGAAATATTCCCACTGGGGAATTCAAACCACAGATCACAATGTACCTCTACCAATTTCAATTTCACCGCCCTTAGGGATATATTGGAAGAACAGGGGAAACGGATGCTTCCAGTATTAAAGAAATCAAAGGAGAATTTCAACTACTTCTTCCCTCTATGAGGCCCTCACACTGGTCTGTAAATGCCCAGTGCCCCAGACCAATTCTAAGCTTGTCCTTTGTCACTGTCCTCCTATGACAGGTTCCAACCTATATCTTACAGCAGTGACTCTGGGGATGGGCATGGTGGTTTGCTCTGGATGAAAAAAGACATGGAATACTGTGGTAACAGTTCATGTTAGGAAGGCTAAAGTACACCTGTAAAGTAGAAATTACAGAACACAAAGCTTAAGGAATGGTCTTCACTGCGAGGGAGCATGCAGAAACCAGTAGGGAAGCAGGGACCTGTGATACCAAGGACACACGACATATATGAGCCACCCAGCAAGGCACAGCATACCAGGGGACTGAGCATTTAAAATCTTTCCTTTCTGCTATGTAAACAGTGCTGGACAATAAAATAACATTAGTGATCATAATAACAAATAATAAACTCTCTCAGTATTATACCTCATCCTCACCACCACCCTGGGGAATGCTCTAGAAATGAGGGACCTGAGGCACAGAGAGGTGACGTTCCCGAGCTAGTGAGTGGGGAGCTGGGACTCACTGGCAGGTAGAGACCAGAACTAGGTGCACCCGCAGTTTAGGGCTTCACACGACTTCTACTACATGGCTACAAATCACGTGAGAATCTCCTCACGACTTGAATCACCATCTTTAGCACGAGAAAGACTGGCTGAATATCAGACAGACATACTCAAGCTTAGATTCAGGAATCAAAGCAATTAATTGTGGGAAACTATTTTTGATTGAATGAAAACTTACAGATTAAGTAACTCGATAGGAAAGGATAAAAATTCTTGTCGTAGGAATTCTAGCTAAAGACTTCATATATTATAATAAAGTAAAAACAATGACAGCAACAAAAAGTACAATTACTAGTGACCTAAATAGCAAAGTAAAAGTGAAATAACTCACATCTGCATGCATCCCACGCATGGTCAGAGATATAAAGTCCCACACATACAGTCACTTAGGATGTGACTCACGTGGCACTGATTCCCCAGTGTGCTGAGGCCTGAGCCACACTGATTTCCACTGAACGACGTCTGTGCTCTGTGTCCCTGTAAGGATCTCTGAGCAGAATTTTCCCGCACCAACCTCCCCACCCTGCCCCAAAATATGGACTCAAGGATTCCATGGATGGAAAGGCACAGATTGCTCTTAGCACACCACAGGGGGCAAATAGATGTTACCTATAGAATACACACCTGCCAGAATTCTTCCCTTTGATTCAAAGAGTCTGTCCCTCCATTAAATTCTCATGTTCCTTCTCCCTCAGACTTATTGTTTGCAGAATAAAGACAAAATGGAACCATCTTAGTTATATCTGATTGGAAAAAGTTTATGGTTACTGCTTTTGGTTTGATGGGTCAAAGTAAAACTCTGAGGTTGCTTTAATCTTTTCTGAATAATACTTCACAACAAAGAACCATCTGTTGTCTCTACCTTTGTATGTCAAGACTTGGAGTCTTTAGTTCTGAATCAAACACGTAATGAGGAAAAGGAATAAAGAACCAGCTATTTTTCAATGTCGGGGGTAAATTATGTAAGTTAAGATACTAGTTAGATAAACCCCAGAAAGTGAAAAATGACCACTTTAGCATGTGCTCAACTTTATTATAGTTTAATACACACATTAGAATTGCAGACCAAATTTTTCATTGATTAATTTAAACAGTATTTTACAGTCCTCTAGTTGGTTTAGATTTATTTTCATATTAATCATAGTGAGAAAATGAGTCTTTAAATAAAATACAAAGCCCATTTGTAATTGTCCACTATGAACCCAAAAGAGCTAAAGAAGAATAAATTCATGAAGAAAGGGTCCTACATGAGTGAAAACAGTCCCCTAATGGCCTCCTGAGGGCTGTGCAGTTCAGCACGCACAACCCTGGAGTGCCTCCAACCCGCCTTACTGAGTTACGCTCTGTCCCGTGTTTAGGAATTTTCCAGGAGGTGGGAGAGAGAGCGTTGACATTTGCACCACTCGGCCCTAAACTCACCCACTCCCTAGTGGAAAGTGGCATGGGCCACTCTGAAAAATTCCACAACACCCTATGAAATCTTGGATTTTAAAAGGAAAATGAGGACAGAGCTATTTCGAGATATTAAGGTTATGTATACACGGTACTGGCTTAACCGCCAAATCAACTAAAACAAAAACAACCAACAGATCACATTAATGGAGTATCTCTGAGATGGACGGTGACCCTTTGCACTCAGAGACCAGCTCAGCATCCAGGCATCTGGAGGGATCTGCACATTCTACCGAGGGCAAGGAGGTATCGAGGCTGGAGCCTGGAGCCTGGGGACGCCAGGGGGGATGGAGGGACCCTGACATTCCCATGGTGCCTCCCCTGCTCCAATTTTCAGCAAGGACTGAATCTAGTGATGTCATCCACAGGCTCCCTCCCAGACCCAGTGGGAGGAATCCTTCCACCAGGGCTGTGGGAAAGAGCAGCTCTGCGAC